TATATATATTATTTTTTATTTTACTGAAAAAAGATATATAGAGAAAAAGAACAAGAAAAAAAAATAGGAAAAAAACGATTCGTCTACGTATATCGATCCTCATCTCTCTCTTTCTCTCTCTCTCTCTCTCTCTCTCTCTCTCTCTCTCTCTCTCTATCTTTTTTTCTCATAGACGTACACGTACATACACACACAGATACACATACTTTTTGTCTCTGTTTGTCTTTCGTTCAACCCTCCTACAACATGACCGTGAAAGCTTCCCAAGCTACCCACCTTGAATTCGCGATTTTACTTTCTCTCTTCGTGGACGTAGACGGCTCGAGAGATTCATGCTCCCGATAAGAGGAAAGGAGAGTGAAAAAGAGAGAGAGAGAGAGAGTGAGAGTGAGAGAGAAGCACCCTCGTTATTATCTCGATAATAGGCCTTGTCGCAAGCCACGTCCGGATAACACGGCAGCAATTTCACGATATTACGTCGTCGATAAAGACCCATCCTAAAAAGGGGGGTGACTAGGGGTGTACGGAGGCAAGGGAGACAGTGCAAATATATTATCGATTTTTCCTTAACCACCCGTGTCCTGATATTTTTCCAACAAATTTTTTATTCAAATTCGATCAATCTTATCTATAATTATCTTATCTTTTTATTTTTTATTCTTCTTTTTGTTATATATATATAATTGTATATTTATTATATACAGTTATAATAAATGTATTTAATTATGTTATTAATTATTACATATTAATACATATATTGTGTATTATATTTAACATATAACAATTATGTGTTATATTAATTTTATTATATATATATTATTATATTATAATTATATTATAATTATAATATTATATAATTAATTATATTATTTTTATTATATTAATATATGTATATATATTTATTATTAATGTTTTAATGATTGGTTTGAACATATTTTTAGCAAAAGATATCACATAATTTCTTTCATTAAATAAATAGTTTTGATAAACTGTATAGTAGTGTACAATAAGTATTCAGCACATAATTGAAAGAAAATAATATGTGTAAATTATGTGTAAATCACGTGTACATTTTAATTAATCAAAAACGAAAAACACATAAATTTTATCTATCATTATCTCATATTTCAATTTATTTTATATATATATATATATATAATAAAATTTATTACTAATATTTAATTAAATTAAACAGATTGTTGAAAAGAGATGACACTTTAATAGTCTCCCAATGAAATATTATAATAATTTACCAAAAGACATTTATTTATATGAATTTTCAAGTAAATAACATTAAAGGTGCCAAAATAAATTTTCTATACGACATATGCCAAAAGTTTCTAACCATAAGTGATTTTAAACGGTCAATTATTCTTTTCGTGACAACTTTTTAGATTTGTCAGTAGGTTTGTAATTTTATAATTAAAAAAAAATATATATATATATATATATCAACATGCCAAAAAGTTGGTATTAAATTTTAAAACGATTTTAAAATAACAATTATTATTTCAGAGACAAACTTTGATATTTGAAATTAGGCTTATAGTTTTATAGATTAAAATATATATCAACTTGGCAACACACAGAAAGTTTCCGAATAAATATCAACCGATTTAAAATGAAATTATTTATTAAGTTTAAACCCATCCTGTTAGCATCGTTACTGTTTCAATATTGATTTGCATTCAAAATAGTCGAATTGGAGATTTGGTTCCTGCATAAATTTCACGATCAACAATATATAATAATAGACAAAATATATACAAATAACTTCATTATAAATATAAGTTTATTTTGTTGAATATTTATATTTCATTGATTCGAACGATAACAATTTAATTGTTGCTTCGTTTAATAATGTACATGGATTAATGTTTACAATTTGTTAAATTCCACGTTAGATAGAATATTTTTCTTTTGTTTGGATCATAAAAGGGTTAAAACATATTTCCGATGAGAACACATCTCATAATCATAGTCGTAATAATAAAGAGGAATATTATTTTTCGTGTTGAACCTTTAAATGAACCGTCCCATTAGTTTACATCCAAAAAAAAGTATTCTAACGGCCAAATTGATAGAATTGAAGGGAAAAAAAAGAAAAAAAAAATGAGAGAGAAAGAGAGAATAAAAATGAAGGAACACGTCATTTGCCAACAATGTCGCATAACAGCTTTATAAAACGTATTAATTGAAGTACAAATTGTGAAGTTTCCTAACAGAACGAATGTGTATCGTATAAAAACAACAAACGCGTTTATAATTAAAAAAAAAAAAATACACATACAATGTATATATACAAAAGAAGAAAATAAAAAATAAAAAGGAGAATATTCCAATTATAATTTACAAAAAAAAAAAAAAATAAAAACCTCATCCGTTTTCGTTGTTACAAGTAATGAACACGAAATAAACAAAATAAAAAGTAAAAAAATGAAAAGGGAAGGAAACAATTTTCCGATTATATATTTTGTTGTTGTTTTTATCTCCTCGATAAACGAGAAAAGTAATTAGTTAACTCGTTATAAACTCATTTACCTTGTTTATTCCTCATTCGTCTTGAATTTTTTTTTCTGTTATTTTTTTTTCTCTGTCTCTCTCTCTCTCTCTTTCTTTTTCTCATAACAAGAAAATCCTCGTTCATTTTCCTTCGCTAAGCTTTGAATTAGAGAGAAACGTATGTGAGTATATGCCTTTATACGAATTTAAGTGTGTGTTCGTTCGTCTGTGTATATATATATATATATATATATATATATATATGCGTATGAGAAAGAGAGAAAGATCGAAAATGGTTAAAGAAGATAGACAGAGATACAAGCTTGTTAAACGTAATTGGAGTTTCAGCTTCCTAATCGCTTTTGACCGAAGCAAGTTTAACCGCTCGTAAACGGATGCTAAGGCTGCGAAATTGATAACGGAAATCTCACTAGGCGTATGCAAACGTTGAAAGAGAGAATATTCGTTATTAGCTATTAAGATGCAAAAGAGACTTTTGAAATCGGCATGATCGTATATTTAAGTATAACTTACATATATCTATATATGTATATGTATATAAAGTGATGATACAAGTTTCTTACTGGGTCAAAACATTTTTTATAAACTAATTATACAAATTATATTCAGTAATTTGTTTCCATGAAATGATATTAATAACTTAATAACAAATCTTGGAAAAATAATAGAAATATTTTTTATTTATATAGAAAATTTGTTATTTGTATGTTTGTAAAATAATATTTTACAAATTTCACAAATAATACGTATGCCAAAATAAAAGACAAACCAATAAAAAATAATTAATTTATGTTTCTAAAATTTCTATTAAAGCATGGAATTTTAGAAACATAACAAGACCTATGTTGTACAGAAATTTCATTTATATAGTATTTAAAAGAAAGTTATTTGTTTATAAAAAAAAAAATATAAAAATGCAATATATTACACGTTAACATTAAAAAAAAATTATTAATATAGAAACATAATAAATATAAAATAAAATATATATGAAAATAATATAAAATAATATAATAAATATAAAAAAATAATAAAAAAAAGTAATATAAAATTAAAAACATGAAGAAAATAATAATTCAATTAAATTATTTGTGATATTCTAATAGTCCTCACCGTGCGCACCATTTAAGCATCAAAAAAGGTTGGAACCACTTTTAATACGTTCATATTTCAAAGAGTTAAAAAAAAAATATAAAAAAGAAGTTTTACAAAGTGTTTGACTTTCAAAAAAGTAACTTTTGTATTTCATCCACATTATTAATAACACGTCTCTATAAAAGTTGTACGTAATATTATTATTATTAGTGCAAATATATGTTATGGTGGTATCATACGCGTTCCACCAATTAAAAGATAATCTTCTAATCCTGCTCATTCGAGAGACACACGGAGGCGGAACCAGGCTCTTAATATTATCGTCGTCGTCGTCATAGTCATCCGTTTATTCATAGAGGAGAGAGAAGAACGGGTCAAGGGTATAATCCGTCTCCTCCTTATTCGTCCTCCCTTGAGAGCCGAAGGTTAAACGAAAAGCATGTACTATGAGAAGAGAACAGTACATATATATATATAGATAAAGAGTGAGAAAGAGATAGAAAAAGAAATAAACTAAGAACAAGGAACAACATTTACACGCCCACACAAGTTCCATCTTAATTACTTTATATGACCCCTCAGCACACACGGTTTTACGATCGCAACTTTTCTTATTTTAAAAGTCATCTCGAATCTTTATCTCAAATCTTCATCTCGAACTGTTCGTATTTGATTAGCACACCGGTCACATCAGTGGGTATTTTTAAATCATTACGTATAAAGTTATATATATGGTATATATTATACTAAAGAATTTTATTTCTTTTGGGTTTCTATTTTTTTATTATTACTTACTTTTTATGTTTATTCAATTTATGATAATGGACGTTTTTTAAGTATTATTTATTTATTAATAATAAAGAAGAATAATACGTTTAGTTAAAATTAAACGTAGATCGTACTATTTTAAACATAAATATACATTCATTTAAATTTATATATATATATATAGCATTATTATGTTAATTTAATGATTCGGTACTCATCGGAGGAGACATGAATGCGTGGATAAGGAAGCAAAGAGTTAACTACTCAAGAGTAACTCCCAAACGTACCATATTATTAATTCAATACATAAATATTAATATATTATATTTATATCAAATAATATATTACAATATAATCATTTTATTTAATCATATTTCAAGATTCAAAATTTCATTTAAAACTTAAGATATATATTAAACAAAATTATTAGAAAATATAATAGAAATTCATGAGCTGTAAACATAATCAAATCAATACCAATTAATTCTTAAAAGTGAATAATTTGTTATTAATTTAACTTTTAGAAAATAATGATTAAACGAATTATTAATTGTAAATTGATTGAACCATTTCGTGATTAGATTTTTAACAGATAAGAAACGTTTGTTTTACAGGTGCGAAAAGTGTGCGGTCGTTCGGATGTCGAACAACCGTCTGAAAGTAGTGGAATAGCACCAGATACAGTTGAAAGGTCATCAGAAGCCAGTTTAGAGATGCACGCAGCTGCACCGCCACCTTCATCGTCCTCATCTACAACCCACAGAATACTACCTAACAAGTTGCACACACAACTGGGAAATTTCTTGGCCAGTGTAGCAAGTTCTCGTACCTTCTATGACACCCTTGCTGATACTATTTGCGAAGATCATCCCGATAAAGGTTGTTGGAACGGTGAACGAGTTGGAGAGTGAGTAAAATTAATCTTTTCTTCAAAATTATTTAGATCTTTCTATTATTTAATTTATTTCATTATCTCAACAAACAACAAATTTGAAACTTCAATGGAACCCTGGTGCAATTGTATTAAACTTATACGACATTATATAAATGATTAAAAATTATTATTTAATAATTACATAAAACGCGTACTTAATTTATTTTTTTTTTTTTTTTAATTACACGATGTTTATTATGAACTGTTATTAAAACGAACCACACAATGTCATCTGTTCTTGATAAAGAAACGGACGTTTGAAGGATAAATAAAAAGAAAAAAGAAAAGAATATATGAAATAATGAAGTACTTATATATACATATATACACACATATGTATTTATTTATATATATATTTACTTATATATACGTGCTTGGAAAACGTTCTTCGTTGATGACTCGATTGTCGACCAATATGTACTTCATTCTCGTTATTAATTCGCTGCATTTTCCTTGCAGCCGTTCTCGTTTTGTTAGCTACGACAATAATGACTATAATTCGTTGACATAATATCGCACCTGCTCGATAACGAACGAGTAACACAATAAAAGACGTCAGAACCTGAACGATACGTGTTCGACAATATTAAAAACTTCCATACGGTTGTTTAATTGTTTATCTTTAACTTGTCGTTCATTTTCAAATGTTTAATATTATGATTGGATGATTAAGTATTATCAAGTGTTCTTATATCAAAATTCTTGGAAAATTTTATTGTTTTCATTTTTTATTATTTATATATAAATATATATATTATTATATATAATAATATATATAAATATATATATATTATATATATATANTTTTTATAATAATTATTATTATATATAATATAATATATTATTATATATAATTATAATATATATTATAAATAATATAAATAAAATATATAGATACTATAATATATATATATATATATATATTAAATTATTCTAATTACATTTTTTCGTAATATTTTTTTTTAATTAAAGGAATTATTACAAAAAATTAAAGAATACTTCGTAATGATTTCTAAGATAGTGTTAAGATAATTTTTCTGTATTATTTTTCTTTTTTTTTTTTAACATATTTAACAATTTTCTGAGAAAGGGATAGAAATTTAATGTAGTTCTTCCATTATACTAAGTTCGTTAAAACGTTTCACCGCGAATACAAAGAAAACGTGTATAACGTTAGTTGTGAGAGTATTATTTCGGTATCAAAAGCGTGCAAACGTGTTATATTTATGAACACGCGAATACCAACAATCTTTGAATATGGAGATTGTAAATTTAAAAAAAAAAAAAATTTTAAAAAAAAGAGAGAAAGAAAGAAAAGAAAGAAGACTACACATATCGTTGCATAAAAAAAAACGAGAACTCGGTGACGTAGTACAACGCGTTGGATGCAAAATTCGTGAATCGAAACGATGCATGTTTTAATATGTAGACGAGAGAAAGCCTGAGGACTTTCACAGCGTTAAAAACAAAAAAAAATATATAAAAAATATGACAAAGAATATATATATATATGTACTGGGTGAGTCAAAAGTTACTATAAATTTTTAGTTTTATGATCTAAAACAAAACAACATGAGACTAAAAGTTCAAAGTTTTTAAGTCAGATTTTTTAACATGTTGGTAGTTTTGCAGTTTGTGATATGAAATACAAGAATTATATTTTAAAATGTCGACTAATAATAATTTACATTTTTTCCTTTTTGATATAAGTTTGCAATTAAACGATTTAGAAAAGAAACAAATATAATAAAAACAGAAATTATATTTAAAATATTTCGGTGATAAAATAATTGTTATTTTAAACATACAATTTTGTAAGTTTGTAGTTTTTCAATATAGAAAGAAATTAAAACATTGAGTTAGAAAATTTGAAGAAAAATTATATTTAAATCATTTAAATCTTAATTTTCTCTTTTAATTCTTCAATCAAAAGAAAATGTTAGTCTTAAAATACAAAATTTCGTTATAGAATATATTATATTTTTAAGATTCGAATTTAGTAGTAGTATTAATATCATTTAATTGTAAAACCTATATTATAACTTGGAAAATGTCTCGAAAATGGGTAATCGATTCAGAATAAAGTTACATACATATATATAATATATAATACGATATATTGTATATATAATAAAATACATATTTCGTTAAGAATATTACATATATAATATATTACGAACAAAATTTTTAAAAAATAATTTTTATCATTATAATAAAAATTATATTATATTATATTATAATTTAATTTAATTTTATTTTATTTTATTTTATTTATTATTATATTTATTTAATAGATCATTAAATGATTTTTATGATCTATTAAATAAAAATTGTAAATAGTTACATTTTATGAAAGAAATTTATTAAATAATTAATTTAAAAAATTTTCAACAAAATATAATGTATAAATATTAAAAATATATCTCGATAAAGATTATTTTTGTGTAAGTATTAAGGACTAATAACTTATTTTACAAAAAAAAAAAAAAATAAAAAAGAGGAATTGAAAAGAAAAAGAAAAAGAAAAACAAGAAAAGCAGAACGATAAATAGATAGAAGGTAGAGAGAGAAAGAGAGAAAGAGAGAGAGAGAGAGAGAGAGATATAATACAAGTAGGAAGTTAGAATTAATCGTTAGAGGTCACAAGAGCCAAGCTTTATATCGCAACTTTAAAGTTTCCTACAATGATCCATCCCTCGACGACTGGGACGACCGACTTTTTGGTTGTCGCAATTTCGTCTAATTTTTCTCTCTCTCTCTCTCTCTCTCTCTCTCAACGTTTGAAAACTTGCCACATAAATCTACCTACTAAAATAAAAAGTAAAAAAAAAACTCTACTTTTTCGTTTCCAAAACTTTTTCGTACCCCAATGCACATATTAAAAGATATTTACTTCCTCTTTGACGAATTTCCTAATGATACTTAATTACGCAATATTTTTCTTCAATAAATTTTTATCTATCTCTCTCTCTCTCTCTCTCTCTCTCTCTCTCTCTCTCTCTCTCTCTCTCTTTCTCTCTCTATTTCATTTTATTTTTTTTTGTTCCATCATTTCGTTCCCATCAAATATTTTAAGCAAACGTTTTCAACATTAAAAGCAAGTTAAAGTATAGAAGAAGAAAAAGAAAAAAATGGAAAAGAAACATTTAGCAACGATATCACAGGATGGAACATCCGAAGTAAAGTTAAATATCTTAGTTAGAGAAGTATAAATAAAGATAGTTCTCTTTTCTCTACAAGATGGTGGTTCATACGAGTATATAAAAGTAGTTGAAATAGATAAAGGAAGATAGAAAATAGTTTTGCTAAGATAAAGAACGGAATGTGTACGACTGTGGAGAAAAAAGTTTAAAAAAAAAAAATAAAAAGAATAAAAGAGAGAGAGAGAGAGAGAGAAAATAGCATCATCTAACTCGCTATTTTGTATTTTTTAAACAGACCGACACATCTTTTACGGTCACGAATTCGAATAATTAATTCTTTCAAATGCAATGAAAAAGTATATTGATTATGTTAGTATAATATTCTACGAATATTTTTAACGAGGATATATACACACTTATATGAAAACATATATATACATAAATAAATGAATATACTAATTAATATACACGTATTAACTATAAATACTCATACTCATGTATTAGCATACATGTAGGATAAATTAATATACGTACCAAATTTATTTCTTAATTTTCTTTACTGACGTGAATTTTGTATCGACAATTATATTTTTTATTTTGAAAGTATTTGTATAATATAATATTATAATATATAAATTATTGTATAATAATATTAATAATAATATGAAATAAAAAAATAATCATTTGTATAAAAACTTACGAAGCGAAAGGAAACTCCGAGAACGTACGAGATAATTCATAAATTTTTTAAATATTTAAAGCAAACTATGTTCCAGGAAACCTTTTCAACGAGTTCTACAAATTGTTGTTTGCACATCCATAATTGAATCGTTTATTTTGAAATTGGTGTATATTCATTTCTTTTTATTTTAAAATGAAATATTACACATAATTTGTGAATTATTTAATATAAACTTTTTATTTATAACTAGTTAATATTTATTATCTTTTAAAAATACCAATATTTTGTTTTCCACAAAATTAACCGATAAAGGAAATCACGTAATGAATAAATTATGAAATTGATGTAAATTCAATCACAGTACGCAAATATATTTATTTTATCAAATACACCTAAAAAAGAAATTTTTATAATACAATCGAATTACATATTGAACAAAGTTAATAATAAAATAAATAATATAAAGTTAATATATAAGTTTAGTATATTATATATATATATATAAACACTGCTAAATTAATTTATATTTTCTTTTTTAAATTGACCATTAATATTTTTATATTTAATTTTCTCGAAAAAACATCAAAAATAAATTGACACCATTTTCAAAATAAACCACATCACGTGTTATATATTACACATTACACATATATATTAATATCATTTGTCATGTTATAATGGTGTAAAAAACTGGGTTACGTTAAATATTTTTGCACTAATAAGGGTGTTGTGAGTCGTGAAACGACAAAAATTTGAAGACCACTGGTTTAAAGGAAACGTACTTTGCTTACATATGTAGGACAAGTAAAGCTTATAGGAAAAGAGAAAAGTGTGTGTATATGTGTGTGTGTCCCTCTTTTTTTCTTTCTCTCTCTCATTGCGACATCGTGACCTCGTATCTACGAGACGAAGAAGCATTTGGCTACATTCGCGTTGAGATCGGTGCGACATAGTGGCGCCCATTTCCTCTTCTTGCCAGACTCTTTGGCGGCTTGGCGTCCCACGGGCTACGTTCGACCTCTTCTCCCACTTTACTAACTCATAAACACACACATCCACATACACATATACGGATTCAATATACGTACTATCGCACAACAAACTATTATCTACCATTTGCTAGATTTTATGTATACATATATGTATGT